AAGCTGGAGAGTGCGTTTCCGTGGAGTTACTCAGGCACTCTGGTGTAATGTCCATCGCCAGCATATCCCTTGCTGTGGAGGATGTGGAAGGAAGATAGGAAGGCTGGAAAGTCGATCTAGGGGGGGGGGTCATGGTTTGCAAGATTGCAGTCCCAAGCCAGCAAACTGAAAGGGGTTGCTCGCTCTAATTTCTTTTTTATTGGAAGTTGTCAAGAGAAACAGCTATGGAAGAATCGTGCTCGTTTAATCGACTTGATTAAATCACACAGTCGACTTGATATGGTTCAGGACGGACCGAAACGTCGTTGTCTCTTCACTGTCTAGTGTGGATCGGTCAACGGTAAACTTTACAAAAACATTTGCTTAGCGAGTGAGTGATATTCAAATAAGGAGTTGAAGAATCAGACATCTATGTATTGCTGCTTTTGTAGAAGGCGAGTTGTTTACGTCTTCACGGGATCTCTAAGACGGCCTGACACTCTGAGGAGAACTAGGGTAGGTAGTGACCAGGGGCCAGATTCACGAAGCAGTTACGGAGGTACTTACGAACGTGTACATCTTTCTTCAATCTTTGACGGCTTTGGTTACATTTATTAAACAGTTTACAAGCATGAAAACGTCCCAATCAATTTTTGTAATTTTTATAAACAGCCTTCTGGTGCTTCGGAGTTCATTAACTGTTTAATAATTGTAAACAAAGCCCCCAAAGATTGAGAAAAGATGTACAGGTTCGTAAGTGCTTGCGTAACTGCTTCGTGAATCTGGCCCCAGGCGCTCAATAACTTTCACTGCCAGTAATAACCATTCTAAGGTGGCTCCTGCTACTCCAGCAACCCGATGATCGCTCTTGCTGCCCAGTCAAACCCATGGTGGCTCTTGCTACTTTTGCAACTTCATGGTGGCTCATGCTAACAGCTTTGCCCTCCCACAGCTCTCAGATAAAAAGGGCCGTACACATTGGCATACAGACAATCCTCTCTATCTAGGGTTCGAACCCGATCGAAATTGGTTGCGTAGCATGGAGCGAGCGTAATGCCACTACGCCACAGGGAGAAGGAATTTGTATAATTCCGTTTAACTAGAGTAATTTATTCAGAGAGATTAGCCAAGTATTCACTTGCTGTGTTGGATACAGCTACACATTCCTGGGAAACATAACTGTAAGTGGAGTTAATTCCAGAGTGCTAGACACTGAATGATTCTCACAGCTGTACTGTCCACAAACAACAGTCTCTCGGATAGCCAGGAGGACAGACAGACAGAAACAGGCAGACAGTGACTTAAAAGACAGATAGACATACAGACAGAAGTATGTTGACCAGACCACACACTAGAATGTGAAGGGACGACGACGTTTCGGTCCGTCCTGGACCATTCTCAAGTCGATTTGAGAATGGAATCGACTTGAGAATCGTTCAGGACGGACCGAAACGTCGTCGTCCCTTCACATTCTAGTGTGTGGTCTGGTCAACATACTTTAGCCACGTTATTGTGACTCATCGCTTGCATACAGACAGAAAGAAAAACATTCAGACAGTCAGACTACCAATTCATCAGGAGGCAGACATCAACAGTTAGAGGGTTGTGATCAGAATGAAGTGGAACATCACAGGGTCAACTACTAGGGCTCGTACTGTTTATAATACAAATGAATGATTAGACTGGGATACGATAAAAAATGAATAATCAGAGTCGAGGAGGATTTCAGAATGTTCCTAGAAGACCTGAGTCTTGAAAATAGCTACGTGTGCTAAACTTTATTAAAAAAAATACAAATGAATAAAACTGGGCACATGGAAGCTTCAATTACAGTATGTAAAATGTAATGATAACTTCAAGAGTCAGAAAAGAAAATAGATCTAGGAGTTAACGTAACACAGACACTTGAGATACAGGTTATAAGAAAATGCCAGTGGCTTATTCGAAGCCTTCAGGAACGTGGACTAAGAGTCCTTGAAGACATTTCACACTATCATTGTCATAACAGTTCAGGAATATTTTGTTCAAGTCCAGATCCCTAAATTAACAAACACGGCTGCACTGAAAACCAGAGTTTTGCTAGAAGACTGATTGTTGAATCTTGAGCGCTGTTCTGTGAGGAAAGACAGATTGAGCTATATCTCACTAGGCTGTATGACAAAACAGAGGTGACATGATCGCAACACATATGATTCTTTGAGGCATGACAAAGTAAACAAGAACAAAATGTCCATTATGAGTATAGGAAGGGCGAGTTAGCTTGGGCAAGGGCAAGTGAAGGTGGGTACGACAGGTGTAGGACAAGATAAGTTGGGCAAGTACTTGAGGAGAGGATATTAGTAAGCAAATGTAGGAGAAAATGACAGTTGGTGAGCAGGGAGCAGGACGAGAGAGCATGGGAGGAAACACTTCTTCAGTGTGAGAATAACGAACAACTGAAATAAACATTGAACAAGAAGAAATTAAACAAGCTTATTTCCCAGAAGAGGGCATCATAAACAGGAGAGTCGAACCATTACAGCAGGTCACCGACTGCTGAATCTCTGAGCCCAGAAGCTGAAGCTCCCACCAGCGACACACATAGCTGACCATGTAAAGCTGAATGGGTACTCAAAGGGACAGCTGCACATTAACCGGCAGTGCTGCCTGTTTCTTGAAAGTAAATCAACCTTTCACTCAGATGAGGTTGTGATGACCCATGGATGTTACATACTCCATGGATGTTACATACTCCATGGATGTTACATACTCCATAGATGTTACGTACTCCATGGATGTTACATACTCCATGGATGTTACATACTACATGGATGTTACATACTCCATGGATGTTACATACTACATGGATGTTACATACTACATGGATGTTACATACTCCATGGATGTTACACACATCCTGCCGCTGGTGAATGTAGCATCATCCTGCCCACGCCACCCTCAGCCTCCCTTCCTCGTTAGCGAAATATTTTCAGAGTAGAGCTAATATTATGTGTCGTGTAATACTTGGCGTGGCGGCTGGAATGTAATACGTGGGAATGTATACATAACGTGAATGTTATGTATATATTTTTGTTAAAATGGATTTCACATCCAAAGAAATATATATATACAATTTTTTTTTAAAGTGGACAGAAAAAATTAATTACGTTGTTTTTAAAGCTCCGTTAAACTTTGAAAGGTAAATTTCTAAAATATTTCGAGGAATAACAACTCCAATTAAATTGAAGGGAAAATTCCATATAACTGGAATGGTAATTGCTGGCACTTCCAAAGAAATGAATCCCAGCCAAATCGAGTTTATTTTCAATCCAAATTAGGGATGGTTGTTTTTTTCGAAAAGTAAAACAAATTTGAATAAAAACCAGATTACCGTTTCGAATTAGTGGCTTGATACAGGTTGTCGTTGTGTTTTATATTGTATATTTATGTCGTTGAAGCTTTGTATTGATGGTGTTAGCCTGTGTATGTTTCCTGACACTGGTATATGTTTCCTGACACTGGTATATGTTTCCTGACACTGGTGTATGTTTCCTGACACTGGTATATGTTTCCTGACACTGGTATATGTTTCCTGACACTGGTATATGTTTCCTGACACTGGTATATGTTTCCTGACACTGGTATATGTTTCCTGACACTGGTATATGTTTCCTGACACTGGTATATGTTTCCTGACACTGGTGTATGTTTCCTGACACTGGTATATGTTTCCTGACACTGGTATATGTTTCCTGACACTGGTATATGTTTCCTGACACTGGTATATGTTTCCTGACACTGGTATATGTTTCCTGACACTGGTATATGTTTCCTGACACTGATATATGTTTCCTGACACTGGTATATGTTTCCTGACACTGGTATATGTTTCCTGACACTGGTATATGTTTCCTGACACTGGTATATGTTTTCTGATACTGGTATATGTTTCCTAAAACTGGTATATGTTTCCTAAAACTGGTATACGTTTCCTGACACTGGTATATGTTTCCTGACACTGGTATATGTTTCCTGACACTGGTATATGTTTCCTGACACTGGTATATGTTTCCTGACACTGGTATATGTTTCCTGACACTGGTATATGTTTCCTGACACTGGTATATGTTTCCTGACACTGGTATATGTTTCCTGACACTGGTATATGTTTCCTGACACTGGTATATGTTTCCTGACACTGGTATATGTTTCCTGACACTGGTATATGTTTCCTGACACTGGTATATGTTTCCTGACACTGGTATATGTTTCCTGACACTGGTATATGTTTCCTGACACTGGTATATGTTTCCTGACACTGGTATATGTTTCCTGACACTGGTATATGTTTCCTGACACTGGTATATGTTTCCTGACACTGGTATATGTTTCCTGACACTGGTATATGTTTTCTGACACTGATATATGTTTCCTGACACTGGTATATGTTTCCTGACACTGATATATGTTTCCTGACACTGGTATATGTTTCCTGACACTGGTATATGTTTCCTGACACTGGTATATGTTTCCTGACACTGGTATATGTTTTCTGACACTGGTATATGTTTCCTGACACTGGTATATGTTTCCTGACACTGATATATGTTTTCTGACACTGGTGTATGTTTCCTGACACTGGTATATGTTTCCTGACACTGGTGTATGTTTTCTGACACTGGTATATGTTTCCTGACACTGGTATATGTTTCCTGACACTGATATATGTTTCCTGACACTAGTGTATGTTTCCTGACACTGGTATATGTTTCCTGACACTGGTATATGTTTCCTGACACTGAAATTAACACTAGTCTATTGTTTCGTGGTTGTGACACTTGGTAGCATCTTCACCTTCTCACAGCTTCACTATATTGCCACAACACTCACCAGCACCACCACCATCGTTCTCCACCACCACGTGTCATAACCACTATCAATACCCACCATCACCACCCTTCCCCAGCCACAAACACTCCCAGCTACAACCCTTCCAACCACCATCTCTTCCTTAGTCTCATCTATCGCCTCAATTGTTCCAGGAGGAAGCAGCCTATGCCAGCCGGGCTGGTTCCCTTGTGACTCGGATAACTTGTGTGTGGAACGAAGGTTCATCTGCGACAGGTACTACGACTGCCCTGACCGTAGCGACGAGTGGAACTGTAGTAAGTATTATTGTGTAGAGTTTTTACGTTATGGTTGTGGCCCTTCTACCTCTGTTGTTGCTAAAGATTCGCTACATGAAATAAAAAGCTCCAGGTAACACGGGCTATGGTGAGCCCGTAGTGTCTACCTCTAGTTGTATCAGTGAGTGCCCATCGCATACAAGAATGGGTTATCTTGAGATGATTTCGGGGCTTAGCGTCCCTGCGGTCCGGTCCTCGACTAGGATTCTTTTTTGTTACACACACACCCCAGGAAGCAGCCCATAGCAGCTGTCTGACTCCCTGGTACCTATTTACTGCTAGGTAACAGGGGCATAAGGGTGAAAGAAACTTTTTTGCCCATTTGTCTCCTCCTCCATCGGGGGGATCGAACCCGGAACCTCAGGACTACGAATCCGAAGCGCTGTCAGGTGCCCTGGATAAATAGATATTTGAAAGAACTTAAAGATTTTCAAAATTCAAATGAACTTAAGTAATCCAAATTTTAGTTTGGTGATTTATCTCGTTATAGATAAAATTTTACAATGAATAATTAGAGGTTATGAATCTCCTTGAGCTCTTCATGCAGAGATCAAGCTAGAACAAAATATAATCTCTCTATATATAATCTAAAATATAATCTTAATCTCTCTACATCGTCAAACTCAGCCCATGAAATCGGACACTTGAGGAACACTTGTGTGAGTGAATACCCAGGAAAGTCGCCGAGTTGACGATTGCTTAAATGAACACCAGTCGAAATGCGTCTGTCACAGTCTCCTCTTCTGATTTATTAAATGGGTTAGTCACAATCATTGGATGAGCATCTTCTTGTTGAGATTCGTTAGTGCCTGTAACAAAGCATCAGTGATTGTAGTTGTTATTGGGTTATTTCCACCGATTTGCTTGTGAGATCTGTTGTGGGTGCTGGAGCCAGCTACAGTGTTATAGTCCAGAACCCTAAAGCTGTGTTCATGGAACAGATTTTCTGTTCAATGAACAGATTTGCAAAATGATTACGTCCTTTCGTCTTGCAACGTTTTGTTATCTCAAATTAGGGATTTTGAAAACTCTTAAAATTGAATAAATTACTCTATTCTCACTCTAATTCACCATTACACAACTCATAATATCGTGAATCCCCACAAAGTAATACATCACATTACGTCGACAAAAAACATAGAACATCTACCTAATAGAACATTCTACCTAGGTAGAACATTCTACCTAGGTAGAACATCTACCTGGGTAGGTAGACTATCATAATTGTATATACATAGCCCCTTTGATTTACAAATAAAGTGACGTTCTAAGCATCTCATCGTTCAATGGACGCTGGGATGGTGTATTGAGACGAACGAGAAAGCATCTCACACATTATCCTCCATCCAAAGAGAGTAAGTGTGAGTGTTGAGTAGATTAGTGTCGGTGTTGAGTAGAGGTAGATGAGTAAGGGTGTTGAGTAGAGGTAGACACAGGTGAGTGTGTGGGATCACGCTCACTAGAGAAGTTGACGATGCAATCTTGAAAACGTAAGGCTGATTTACAAACTAATTGGCTTATTGGATTCCTGATTGAGGAATTGGTTATTTCCTGATTAAAAGCCAGATTTAATTATGGAATAATTGGTTAGCTCACCGGTTGATGAATAATTGACTAAAATAATTTCATTATTACTATTTGTTTTTAAACAAATTGCTTAAAAAATATGTAGTTAACTAATCGAATAACGAAGTAATTGATTAGTTGGTAGATTGGATAACACATTGAATAACAAATTTTATTAAGAAATATTGAATGATTCAATAATGAATCATGTTTCATTATTCATGTTTCACTATATGTTTCTTGAAACTTTACACAGGCGTTCGTGTGTCCGGAACTCTCCCTTTGAAGTTGTTGTTTGATCGATGAATGTAATTTAGATGGTATTTCCTCCTCCTGCCTCGTCATGTGTTGCTTGATGAGTTGAAGTGATACGGAATTTCAGTATACAAGTTCTCAATACTTCTAAGGAAGTTCAGTGTCTGGAAACACCCACCTGAGGTTGGATTGGAAACAGGGCTGCTGATATTAAATAAGTTACCGGATATATATATATATATATATATATATATATATATATATATATATATATATATATATATATATATATATATATAATGTGTGTGTGTGTAAATCACGAAAAATACACACGTGATTAAAAATGGAACAGTATCAGATCACGGAGGAATATTGAAACAGGAATTTCCTTTTTCAATTCAAAAAGAAAATTTCTGTTTCAATTTCCTCCGCGGTCTGACACTGTCATATATATATATATATATATATATATATATATATATATATATATATATATATATATATATATATATATATATATATATATATACATATATATATATATATATATATATATATATATATATATATATATATATATATATATAGACATATGTCGTACCTAGTAGCCAGAACTCACTTCTCAGCCTACTATGCAAGGCCCGATTTGCCTAATAAGCCAAGTTTTCATGAATTAATGTTTTTTCGTCTACCTAACCTACCTAACCTAACCTAACCTAGTTTTTTTTGGCTACCTAACCTAACCTTACCTATATATATAGGTTAGGTTAGGTTAGGTAGGGTTGGTTAGGTTCGGTCATATATCTACGTTAATTTTAACTCCAATAAAAAAAAATGGACCTCATACATAGTGAAAAGGGTAGCTTTATCATTTCATAAGAAAAAAATTATAGTAAATATATTAATTCAGGAAAACTTGGCTTATTAGGCAAATCGGGCCTTGAATAGTAGGCTGAGAAGTGAGTTCTGGCTACTAGGTACGACATATATATATATATATATATATATATATATATATATATATATATATATATATATATATATATATATATATACACACGCAACAATTTGCTGGCTCTGGAATCAATACCACAGACCAAGATATGACATTATATATCATTCATTTAACAATAATTTTTCAACATTAAATTTTGCGAACGATAATTTAAATCTGTTAAGTTATTATTTGTCATTTACTCTACAAATTTAAAAATAAATTACTGATTGATTCGTTATTATAAACGAGAAAAAATTATGATTCGTTTAAAAACTACATCGAATACCAAAAGATATACAAATCTCAACCATTTTCAGTTTCAGATTCAAATGGATTACAAGTGTCTAATACAGGTGTCAGCCATTTAACTAACTAAAACACCGGGACGACGGAGACTCGCCTCCGTCTGCACACTCTTCTGTCAATCATGTTCATACGACAGTGATTAGACGTGTCTGCCTTAACACCATACTCAAAAATACGTTATTATGCCAGTCATACACCTCGACGTCCACACCACAGTAACTTACATGCCAGATTGACAGTGAGATGATTCTCCATCAACACAAGGCTGATTGACATGCTTGTATGATAATGATAAGCTTTTCTCCGACGATAACACACTGATTGACACTTCAGTATGACCATTTCAAACTACTCCCTCAGCACCAAAGTGGCTGACACGTCGTAATGATAGTGACAAACGTCACCATCGCCAATATAGTGATCGACGTGCCAGAGTGATGGTGACAAGGCACTGTGTTAATAGCATTATGATTGGCATACATCTCTACCCTTATATGTTTGTTTTTTTATTGTGTTTTTTATTTTTACAACAGGACATATATATAAGCCTCTTTCAAGTAATTAATTACATGACAAGGATTTTAATTGGCACAGGATACCCACATTCAAAGTAAATTGTAGGAACTTGAAACATCGAACGAAAATGTATATCAACATAGCAAAAGTTAAATTTTTTTGTTTACAGACGAGAGGTCAAGGTTAACAATGTTATCTAGGTTATCAAAGTTTATTATATATTTGGGGTTTTTCTCTTGTTTGATGTTAGAATTTTCTCTAATAGTAAATTGATCATTGAGCATGAACATTAATATTTGCAACAATATCATTGATCACTGTCTGGTTCATTGCTAAACCAGTAAGTAGTTCGTCGACAGCTGTAAGATTGAGAAAAATATTCGACTATAATTAGAGTTAAATATGCAACTTATTTCAATATTAAATTTAAACAAAATTTAGCTTACTAAGTGTTCTGAAATTAACATGATCTCTCTCTCTCTCTCTCTCTCTCTCTCTCTCTCTCTCTCTCTCTCTCTCTCTCTCTCTCTCACAGCTGACCATCACGTAGACAACTTCGTGGATATGTTGTACCGCAAGCGGCCGGATGAGGACTCGGAGAAGAGACGGGGTAAATGTGGTATGTACCGAACAGCGTCTTATGAAAACCGTATCACACGCGATCACACAGTAACACATGTGTCTACAGGTGTATGCACATTTTGTGAACAGAAACAGATGTTTACATGTGTGGGAGATATGGTTACAGGTACTGATTTGTGTTCAAGGAACCTCCTTTTTTCTCATCGATAAATATTTTATCCGGTACAGATCTTTTCAGAGACAGGTGTGTGTGTGCACATTGACAGATATATGTGTGTATGGGTACATAGTGTGTGTACATAATGTGGAGTGTACATGCGGGTACATAGTGTGCCCCTTCACACTATGTACCCGCTTGGACGGATTAGTGCCTGTGTGTATAAACACATGTTCACTCTGTCATGTTTGTGTGCACATGGGCAGATATGTACAGGTGTGCCCGTGGAGACGTGTGTGTTGATAAAGACACACACATGTCTCTATGGAACATTTTCTATATATTTAAATCTAAGCACTTATTTCATCAATTACTCTTCTCTAAACATCGGGTATAAAGATGTAACTTAGTAATGATGAAGATTAGCTAGATAATGATTATAAGTGTTGTTTGTGGTAATGATGTTGACTTCTTTGC